TGTGCATGCATGTGCAATGGAATATTACTCAATCATAAAAAAGAATGAAATAATGCCATTTGCCGCAACATGGATGGACCTAGAGGTTATCATATTAAGTGAAGTCAGACAGAGAAAGACAAATATCATATGATATCACTTGTATGTGGAATCTAAAAAAAAGATACAAATTTTATTTACAAACCAAAAATTGACTCATAGACATAGAAAACAAACTGTGGTTACCAAAGGGGAAATAGGGGGATGGATAAATTAGGAGTTTGGGACTAACAGATACACATTACTATATATAAAATAGATAAACAACAAGGATTTACTGTGTAGCACAAGGAACTATATTGAATTTCTTGTAATACACTATAAGGGAAAAGAATGTCAAAAATATATATACATACATGTATGTATAACTGAATCACCTTGTTGTACACCTGAGATTAACATTGTAAATCAACTATACTTCAATTTAAAAATTTTTTTAAATAAATAAATGAATAAAAAAACCTAATCACCTCCCCCCAAAATAAATAAAATAAAATAAATAACTTCTAAAAAGTTAAAAAAAACATAAATACTAGGTAAGTAATGTACACATGATAAATATAATTAACACTGCTGTATGTTACACATGAAACTTGTTAAAAGAATAAATCCTATGAGTTCTCACCACAAGGAATAAATTTTTTTTCTATTTCTTTAATTTTGTATGTACAGGAGATAATGGATGTTCACTAAACTTATTGTGATAATCATCTCATGATGTATGTAAGTCATTATGCTATACACCTTAAACGTATACAACACTGTATATTTCAATCAACTGGAAACTATATCTCAATAAAACTCAAAGAAAAAATTAAATAAATAAAATAAAAATCAGGATCAATTAATTCAAAGGAAAAAAAAAGAAATTAGATTTACCTGAAAATTTATTGATGCACTATCACCCTGTAGGTCACATGAGTTACTACTCACACACAACAAAAACTTCAAACAAAAACAAGAACGTTGGGTTTTCTCAGTTAAATGAAAATTTGACTCCAACTGCTTATAAAGAGTATATGACACTATTTTCATTTTTTTTAATTCAAGAAGCCAGGTATGAGGTTATGAAGATTACTGCAGTCCAGAAAGAAAACTTTATTGCCTCTTTGAACTTGCAAGTACCTTGAAGCATGCTTTCTAACAACACAGCAGAGTAAGGACTGCTGGGAGACAGCAGCAGCTGACAAGCCAGCCTGGCACCCAGTAAGAAGGAATCCCATAAAAGGGCAGCAGTATTCCTAGGGGACCACTCTGGGTGAGGTACAATAGTTATTTTGTTTTCCAGTGGAATAAAATATAATAAAAGGTTTTTTTAAGTACATGATACTATTAAAAATGTACTTACTGAGAATTTTTTAAGTTCTTACCTCAAGTACTATCCCCTCAACATATTGTATGTTTCTCAGTCTATACAAATTACATATTTCAAAGCCTGATATACATAGATATAGTTTATTGCAACAGCTATTGCCCCAAAGTCGAGAAGCTAATCATTCAAAACACATTTTCAATTACAAAGAGGTATCAAAATTAAAGTCTTTTGGGGATCTTTATCACGCATGACTCAAACAAATATAATGTACAGCATGGTGAACACAGTTAATAACACTGTATTGCATATTTGAAAGTTGCTAAGAGAAAAAAAAATCTGACTGTGTATGGTGACAGGTGTTAATTAGACTTACTGTGGTGATCATTTTGCAACCTCTACAAATATCAAATGATTACGTTGTACACCTGAAACTAATGTTGTATGCCTATTATACTTCAATTTTTTTTAATATTACATTAAAAATAAGCTAAAAATTAAAAAGTAAGTGATTCAAAAGCTATGGCTTCTGGAGAGGGTATAGTTCAAGTGGTGGAGCACATGCTTCGCACACACAAGGTCCTGAGTTCAATCCCCAACACTTCCTCTACTTAGTTACCTCCCCACTCAAAAAAAGAAAAAAAAAGCTATGGCTTCTAAGTGATACTCTAAGAATGTTGCATAATACTGTCAATAATCTTTAAACTACTTTAAAACACATAGTTATATAAATATTTTCAAAGACTTGCCATGGCTTTTTTTCTTCTACACTAGCTAACTTTACTCAGCTCCAAGATTTTCAACAGAGGTGGAAAGTCTAGTGGCTAATGAATTTTCAAAGTACATAACGAATATTGCCAAACTCCATAAGAAGCATTTAAAAAATACAGAAATTACTTATTTGCATAAATGTAAACATAATTCATGTGACTGAAAGTTCATTCACTTTTAATACTACTACTCTTCCTTTTTATTAGGGAAAAATAAGGATGTACATTTAAAAGAGGCTATATACAAAAAGATGTAAAATAAATGCAAACAATACCAAGAGGACCATGGTTAACTATTTAATTTTCATTGCAAATCAAACACATGAGCTCAGAGTGAGAAACCAAGATACCAAATTCCTTCCAGGTATTCCTTTCTTACACAGCTGAGACAGCAATAAGGACATTGAAGTATATGGAGAGGTTCTACAACTGTAAAAATATGGACATATGTATGTATTTTACCATACGAGAGACAGAAAGCAATAGAATTTGTGAATAGATGAGGGTGAGGTCCCCAAAGTTACTATGGGTGTCACCCCATCCAATCTTAATTACCTTGCAGTGAAATATGGAGATCATCGATGCCCAAGGAAGCCTGTTCATCTTCGGTGAGAAGCACAGGACTAGATGCCATCCTTTGACTCAATGGAGATTATATCATGTCCATCTCAGTTAAAGAAGTGAACTAAAAATAGAAACGGATAAATGCTCATTAGTACCTCTGCAGCTCCGCATTCCTAGTAAACACGCATTGCCAGAAAGCCACAGCAACCAGAAACTGCCCTTCAAAAGAATCACAGCTTTCAAGTGAGTGTTTGCTTAGACATGAGGAACCAAGTGACTACGCCTTCGTTTTTGAATCATATCAAGATTTTGCCCTATGACCTCTTCAGGCTCTTTAGAGTTGCAGGCAGAACTCCACAAGAGCAAGCATTGTGGGTTCTGAACTAGCAGTGAAAACGAAAGCAACACAGATTAGACTCTGTAACTCGTCCAGAGGATGTAAAGTTGACACAAACTATCTTAGGTGTTTGTGTGTATTATTTTATTAACCTTCAACCAACACGGATTTTCTTTAAAACTTTTAACTTAGTTCCTTTTCTGCTCCATGATTGTTGCCATTTACAGGAAACAATAGAAACTTGGTTTGCATAGGTTGCAAAGTGAAACTAAAAAAGAACTCTATTATAAAAATGTTTTCATGAATTATCTAATTATATTATTTTCCCAAGTCCTTAGTTTCCCACCTACACATTTCTTTCTCTACCCCCACTTTGACTCTTAAAGAATCCTTCCAGTAAGAGTAATTCTTATTGTGCAACTTGTTAAAAGTACTGCTTCATTTTGTGTATGCCACTATTAGTATCCTGGGGACTGAGAATAAAACACTGACTTCTCCCACGCAGATGATGACCTTCCTATCAAAATAAACCTAACAGAACATATTAAAACATAAAATGTACTAGGGGATGAATAGATGAATGGACAAGTGTTCAAATACAAGTATAGCAAAATGTTAATGGCAGAATCTAGGTGTTGAATATCTGAATATTTTTCACTGTAAAATCCATTAACTTTGCTGCATATTAGAAATTATTCATAATAAAATGTTGGGGGAGGGGAGGCTAAAAAAATAAATAAACTTGGTGGGGGGGTATAGCTCAGTGGTAGAGCGCATGCTTAGCGTGCATGAGGTCCCGGGTTCAATCCCCAGCACCTCCATTAAAAGAGTAAATAAGTAAATAAACCTAATTACCTCCCCCACAAAAATAAATAAATAAATAAACCTAAGGCCAACAGCCAGTTACAATCAATCATATCCAATAGACCATTGAAAAAAAATGCAAAGAACAAAAATCATTAAAAATCTTATGCTAGAGCCAGACTTCAAAAATCTTTCAATTCTGTCTTCTCATCCAACTACTCTGCTTGTCATCCAAACTCCTTTATCATCTCTTCCATGGATCACTGCTGTTAAAGATTTTACCTACCAAATAAATTATGTTTATTAACTAGTGATTAATTTATGTTACCTTGCAGAGATGAATCAGAGTCTGCCTGAGGTAACAGTTCCTATACTGAGTTGATACAATTCTAACCAAAATAAAAAGCTGCTTGTTAGTTCAAGTGAGCCTGATGATTGATAAAAGTACAAATGTCCTCAGTTCTTGGTGTACTGAAGACCTCCACTACCCCTGCCCATACCAAGAACTCCTGAACCCAAAGTGAAGATAAAACACTTCTTCATGATGATGGGAGAAAAACTGAATTCCAGAATGAATTTCCTAAAGGTCCCCACTTTTCATGCCAGGGACATTTTTTAAAAAAAGGATAATAACAACAGTAGCAAACCTTATACAGTACTTACTATACATAGGCACTGTTCTAAGCACAACTCTATGAGTTAGGTTGTATATCCTAATATAATTATCCTGTATTTGAAAAGACAAAACTGAGACACACAAATGTCATACATACACAGTTGTCTAAGGACATATAGCTAGTAAATGATAGAGCTAAGATTTGAATTCAGGTGGTTTTGGCTTCAGAGTACATGCTCTTAACCAAAACATGTTGGTACCTGGTAGAGCCTGCCAAAACTTTGCCAGATTTTGTTTATTCTTTCTTTCACTCGTTTATTCAACAAGAGTTTATATATGCTATACCCTGCTCTCAAGGAATTCGGTCTTATAAGAATGACAGATGAACATAATATTGAATGAAATCTCCTAAGAAACGTATGTAGGAGGTGTTATGGAAGCAACGGAGAAGGCATGTCCCATCACTTGAAGCTGGAGATAGATGTGATGCCAGGACTGTACTTAACATAAATCAGCATCTCACTCCAATGAGTCCTGTAGGCATTATTTGGATAATTCCTTGACTTTAATATGAATGTTGCTGAGAACCACTCATTGCCATGCAACATTAAATAACTGTGAGCCATCAAGTGTAGGGGAAAGAATTTAAGATAAAAACAGAACAGACAACAAACTGATTACCAGAGGATCAAGAAATGTTCCTGTGCTAGAATGGTATGCAGGATCCACTACATTCTATATTAAAGTTGTAAAAAAGAAATTAGTATTTCTTTAAAAAAAAAAAAAGTCTAGACCTTAACATAACTGTCTGAGAGGTTTCTGTTTTTAACAGTGAAAATTTATTAACAAACAAGTCAATAAAATAAAATTAAAAATTAAAAATTTTAATTTATTGAAGAATTTCCTAGAGCTTCTAAAAAACGTCCATCAAAAGTAAAACAAAACTATGAAGACTGACACAACTGCAAGTGTTAGATCATTGATCCAAATACTGTCTTAGTACAATTTTTTATCAAAACATGCTACAGAGGTCATGAGGATCTGACTGAAGGCGATGTACGATGACACTTCCAACACAAGTATTTTTGGTAAGAAACGACTGACTCTCCAGAGAAAAATTTGCTAAACAGGGCTCATGAAAAACTGGAACAGAGCAGAGAAGAAAAGCTTTGAGAGATTTCGCAGGATCCATATTGAGAAGCTAGAAAGAATATGAAAAGGGAAGGCAGAAAGAGGAATAAAGGCTTGGCCAGGGTCTCAATGAGTCCTGAGGGTCTATCGACCAAAATCCTGAGGGCAATCTGATCCTTTGCACCAGATTTCCCTGTGGGGCCCAAGGGCTGCCTTTTCAGGGGAAAATCACAGCACAGAAGCCTACTTCCCATTGCCTTACTTATCCTTTTCAAATAATAAGCTACACGCAATTAGATCACATCAGGGTTCAGAATGAAAATAATGGATCACCATGAAGTATAACCAAAGATTAGGCAAAGAATTAATGTAGCGGCATTAAAGAGTCGAAGATCAAGTAGAATCATGTGGAAGTGTGTTTTTAAAACCCATGTAAATTAATACACGCGCTTTCATAAGTGGCATAAGCTATTGTGAAACGACTGTGGTTTGCTTATGCAATCTATCTTAATATGCGCCTGGTATCTCTAAAACCTCAAAACACTAATTTTCTTTTCTAAAAAAGGAAAAAAAAAGAAATCTTGGCATATGGATTATTATGATTAGAATTTTTGCAACTCAAAAATGAAATGTGAATAGAGATTATTTGTAATGAATGGCATTCCTTTCCCTTATCTGCATTTTTAAAATTTCAAATGATGAATGCCTATTTCTGCTTTGAGAAGAGAAACTTTTTTCCTTTCATTTTAATGAAATGACAGTGAATGGGGAACAAGGTATTACTTAGTTGAGGGTCAGTTCTCCAATCCATATGCTATGGAACCTGTATATGTATATTTTCACAATGAGAATAATATTTTCTTAACACAAAATATTAGAAAAATTCTGAGTTTCTATAAATTTCTAAAAAAGACTCCTAAAAGCCTCTTTTTTTCTTATTATTAGATAGTTTGCTAACAAGGCCTACTGTTTTAATAGCACTGAAAAATCTTTGAGTCAACAGGGAGAAAGGAACATCTATGTCATCTTCAGAAGATGATCAGAAGGTGTACGCACCATAGCAGGACATGTTAAGTACATTCAGGCAATTCTTTAACAGAGTAATTCAAATGTCAGCATTTTCCCTGCGATGCCTGGTTGCTCTTTTTTCTATTCTTCAGCTCCATCATGTTATTTATAGTCCACCTAGGAATTCTGAAGGATCTCTCCTTTGTCGGTTAAATTATAGAGTTCTTCCCAGCAACTGACAGTTATTAACTTTGATCTGCCTGCAAGCTCACAGAAGAAAGCTGGTGACAAATTTGCAATAAACTTCTTCGTCTTTTTCCCATTTACTTTTCCCAACTGTGTTATTATTTATCTTTTCATCATCATTTGACTAGAAGCAATTGGTGTAAATTCCCAGATCCGTTGATTTTTAAGGTTCACTCTCCTATCTCCTTTCAGGCACTGTGTTTTTCTAATAACCACCAAAAAAATGCCAGAACAATCAATCCTAACTATTCACTACTTTTTAAAAAAAATCAAACATGTAGCAATTCTCTGGATATGATACCACTGCACTTGCTACCTCACAAGAAGCAGTATCACTCCCCAGCCAATGCCAACTGGGCCGCTAAACCAACCAATTCAATCACGATAACAGCATTCTGAGTGAATGTAGCCACTTCCCTCAAAGAGCCTTCTGTTGGCCTTGACCAAGTCCCAAGTGCTCTGAACTACAATGACCACGGCTACAGAAAGTGAAAACTACATATCTTACAGGGTAGTTGTTAGATTTCACTGAAGCACATGAAGCGACAAACTACAGTAGTAACTAACATTTACTGAGTGCTTACAATGACAGGCGTACTACAGCATATAAATGTATTTACTATAATCTGTGAAATGAATTTCTGAAGATTATCCTATTTCTCAATCAGCAGTAAAAATTAAAAGCTAATTACAATATTAAAACAAAGGGTAAAAAAAATTAAGGGTGAAAATGTCCAATGCTGCAAAACCAGATATGTTAAATCAGCACAGATCTAGAAAGCAGGTGCTCAGAAAGTAATTATTTTTAATTTTCATCAGCACATTTTAACCTAGAAATTCTGCCCTTGCACCCCACAACCAATGTTTAAAGCTCATAATTCCCCCAGCAAAAGTTCCCTGCCTTTGTTACTACCATGTCACCAGTCTCCCAAAGAGCCTGGAGATATATCACTTTAAGTTTTAAGTACTGAAAATGCTTTGGATTTTTTTTTCCCCCATATATATCCATCTCTTCATTCCTTTTGTCATCACCTCTGCCCATGACCCCATTACTTTGTTCCTAAATTGCTACCAGAGATTCCTGGCTTCCCTATTAACTCTAGCTTCTCCATCCCTATCTTAGAAGAATCCCTAAGAGGTCTGGGATCGGAGGCAAGAGATACTGCCTAAGTTGAGGATGAGACACAGGTATGAAAACAAATGGAACAAAATGTGTTGAAGATCAGGGCTAACAGCACAATTTTGGAGAAGTGTGTACAGCAACAGTAGGACCCGCAGCCCTCACCAGCCCCACCTACTCCATGAATACTGGTAGTCAGACCTATTCCCCAGACCTCCTGCTCCACCCGCAGCTGGGATCTCATAGAGAATCCATTTCTGGAGAAAGTAAAGCCCCTTGAAAAGACCTCAATAGAAAGGTCAGTTCCCTGCCAAATCACCCTACTGTGAAATCCCACTAATTGGCTTTTTCCATTCCTCATTCTTGAATATGATTGGACAGCCAAAGATTACCAGACATTTAAAGAGAGCCTCCAAGAATGAAAGAGATCAAAACAAACACAAAAGAGGAACCTGGAGGAGCCAGCAAATGTGGGAAAGAAAATAAAAATAAAAACCAAAATTGATAATTGGATTTCTTTTAGAAATGACATCACAAGATGAATTCTATTTTAAAGCTTATAAAAGGCTTCTCAATATCAGTTACCAACAGAATCAACATTTCTTCCATTTTATACCTTCCCATGCCCTCTAAAGCAAGGGATGTATTTTAAAGTTTTGTTCTGCATGCTGATAACACATTTCACTAGCCTTTTCTTTAACCATTGGTTTTTGAACAATGTCAAAGCAAAAAGTCATATTCTACTGGACAGAATTAACTTTAGAAAGCCCTTATAAAGTCAGACTTAGTCTTGTTTATAAACATCCACACCCACACATATGCTGAAATGGAAAGCAAAATGCAAGAAAACTACTTTGGCAGAAACAAATGCTTAAAGACTTCATCACAGCCCTCTTGAACAAGCACTACTATTTTGTTCTAGTCCCTCCAAAAGACAAAAGCCAGTTTCATCCTCAGATACAAATGGTAGTACCACACAGAAGCTCAGAATGAATTCACAATTCCACAGGAATCTGGAAGTCACCAAGGCAATTTTTCTTTTTAGGATCATAAAGAGTACAGACTCTTAGTGAAATGGGCGGCCATCTCAGAGTTTTGAGCAGGGGAGAGATATAATTTGACCTATGTTTCAAGATTATCTTTTAGATTGATGCGTTGGGAACAAAACATGGGACATGGAATGAAGCAAGGAGATTAGGTAAAAGGTTATTACAGAATGGATGGACAGATGAATAATAAACAAGAAAGCAAGCATGGTAAAACATTAAGGATAGACTCTAGCTATTGAGAATATGAGTATCTGTGTAAAGTTCTTTCAAGGTTGTTGTATATTTGAGAATTCTGATAATAAAATGCTGGAAGGAAGAGGATATGCCAGTTACCCAGATGCTGAAGAGCAGAGTAGTGAGTGGTCAGTGGTCAGATTCTGGATTTATTCTGAAGATGGCGCCAACAAGGTTTCCTGACTGATTTGATGTCATATGTGAGAGAAAGAGGAGAATAAAAAAAAATCTCCAAAATTTTGACCCCAGCAACAGGAAAGATGGAGAAGCCATGAATCAAGCCAGGGAAGGTGGCAGGTGGAACAGGTTTGGGGGCAAAGCAGAAGCCCAGTTTTGAAATATCAGATGTACATCATGCATCAGTCTGATAGAATGGATTCCTATTCTATTTTGAATCCAGGTAACTTGGGCATACTCTAATTTCTTTTTTTTCAAAGTAAAAGCTTCCTGCCTCATGGGAAACTAAGCCAAGACGATCAAATCAGAATCAGGAGGATGGAGTTAGACAAGGCAATAAGATAGAAACAGGGTACTATGAAAAACAAAAAAATTAACTGCTCTATTTAAAAGATCAATAAAGGGGTTAGCATATAAAATAAGGACATCTCCCATAAACAAAAAGGAGAAAAACAGAAAAGAAATATAAAACTTAAAGGGCCAATCCAGTGGGTCTAACATCCAAATGAGAAAACAGAGGGAGAAAATCATCAAAGAAGTGATATAAGAAGATTATTCAGAGCTGAAGGACAAGTGTTTTCATATTATAAGAGCACAATGAGTAACCAACAAAACAGAAGTTTTAAAGACCCTCAGCAAAACACATGGCTGCAAAATTTTAGAATAGCAGCAATGAAGAATCTCCTGAATATAAAAACCAGACCATAAACCAAGGAACAAGAATTAGAAGAGCATCAGACTTCTGTATAGCCACACTGGACAACAGGAGACAGTGAGGAATATCCTAAAAATTCTGAAAAAAAAAAAACTAAACATAAGAGCTAAAATCACAAAACTCTTGGAACAACAAAAAAAAAAAACAGGTCAAAAGCTTCATGACATTGGATTTTGCAATGATTTCTTGGATATGACTCCAAAAGCACAAGCAACAAGAGAAAAAATAAATCTAACTATGATAAAATTTAAAATTTCTGTTCATCACAGGACACGATCAACAGAGTGAAAAGGCAACCTATGGAATGGGAGAAAATATCTGCAAATCATGTATCTGATAGGAAGTTAATATCCCTAATATACAAATAACTCCTACAACTCAACAACAACAAAATAAACAACCCAATTAAAAGTGAGCAGAGGACTTGAGCTCAATCATTAATCATAAGGGAAATGCAAATCAAAACTGCACTGAGATACCGTCTTAAACCCACCAGGATGGCTACTATCAAAAAAACAGAAAATAGCAAGTGTTTCCAAAGATGTGGAGAAACTGGAACCCTGGTTCACCGTTGGTGATAATGGAAAATGGAGCAGCTGCTAAGGGAAACTGTATGACAGTTCCTCAAAAAATTAAAAATAGAATTACCATATGATGATCCAGCACTTCCACTTCTGGGTATAAATACAAAAAAAAATTGAAAGTAGAGTTCTCAAATAGATATTTATACACCATATTCATAGCAGCATTATTCAGAACAGCCAAAAGGTGGAAGCAACCTGAGTGCTCACCCACAGATGAATGGATAAACAAAATGTGACATGCACATACAATAGAATATTATTTAGCTTTCAGAAAGAATGAAATCCCGACACATACAGCATGGCTGTAGCTTGAGGAAATTATGCTAAGTGAAATAAGCCAGTCACAAGAAGACAAATATTATATGATTCGACTTATATAAGGTAACTACAGTATTCATAATCATAGATTCATAAAGTAGAATGGTGGTTGTCAGGGGCTCGGGGAGGGTTAATTAAAACAATTAACTCTCAATTAACTTTTAATTGTTTAATGAGTATAGAGTCTCAGTTTTGCAAGATGAAAAGAGTTCTGGAGATGGTGATAATGGTTGTTACACAATGTAGAATGTACTTAATACCACCAAACTGTACCCTTAAAAATAGTTAAATTGGTACATTTTATGTTATGTGTATTACCACATTTTTAAAAAAATCAGATAGTACTTTCAACCTACAGTCTATATCCAGTTCAAGTATTAATCAAGAGCTAGTGTAGAAAAAAGTCATTTTTTGACATGCAAGGTGCCAAAAAAATTATGTCCTATGTTCTTGCTCTTAGAAAGCTACTGGAGAAGTAACCCCAACAAAATAAGAAAGTGAAACAAGAAAGAGGAAGGGAAGTATTCCAACAAAACAGAAAACTAAACTAAAAGTGAGAAAAACTGGATACTGAACACAGGAGAAGTAAAGGAAAGTTCCCAGGATCGGAACAGGAAAGAGTAGGGCTCTGGGAGAGGGGTCCAGAGTGGGGGCTGGGGGAGGATGAATTGGGAAGAGGAGACTGAAGACAAGAAGTGGAGAACAGATAGGATGAAGGGGCACAGAGACTGTTGGCTCAGGG